TTTGACTGTGGGCTGCATGATGTTAAGCTGCGTTGAAGCTTTGCGAGTTTCTTGTGGCATCTGGCATTGACCACAGACTGAACAAAAGAGGTAAATTCCTTATGTTCACAACGCGGTAATTCGTCCACATAGATCTGTCTTTGGAATACATTCCGTTCATGTTCTGGCATCTTTGAACACACAGAGTCTCGAAGATTCAACGCATGTCTGCGCAAGGTTTTGGAGTTTGGATAAATCCTATTTGTACGTAGGCATTTCCAGTAATGTTTAGGGTACACGTTCTGGTCCACACAGTTTCAAATGAATTCAATCACAGTGTTTGCTTCGGCAAGGCGTGTAGAGAAACTGAGGAATTTATTTAATTCCTTTACTACACAGGGCTCCTTGTAATGTTTCAAATTCCGAAATAATCCCATTGTAACATCAGTACACAAGTCCGAAGGCGAACAATTGTTTTCTTAACTACTTTTCCATGGCAAAAGATCCATAATAAACTAGGATCAATCTCATCCAAATATCCATTAGACAGAGTGCATAAAATTGGTAAGATCTGAGTCCGTCTGTTGGTTTCCCTATGGTTTAGAAGCCACTGACTGTATTTTATGACTCACTGAGTAGCGGGGAGTAAACACACGTTTCTGATACAATCAAGGTGTAAGTTTAAAACAAGTCGGATGTCTTACCCAGTTACGTGACTGAGTTGCTTATAATATGAATTCCGTGAAAATTTCCTACTCATATAACAAGGAAAACACGGGGTAAATTTGTCATAGGTTGCTAAAGCATTTCAGTTCGATGTTCAAAAATATAGATACAAAAATTTCAAGAATTTCTTAAAGACTCTGAAGACGTCTGCGTTTGCTAAATGGCCGTCACGGGCTTCTAGACGATCGCCAGGGCCTATAGAACGACGGTGAATCTTGCGGAATGCCCCATGGAGCGGAACTTCTGATCATTTATTGGCATCAGTTTTGCGACTGAAAACGGATTTTCCAAGTGTTCATGGATTAATAGTAAACAAGATGTTTGACGGTTGATGCAAGGAGCGAGTTGAATACGCCCATGATCCGTCAAAGATGCTCCGGAGGAAAACGAACGAAATACGCATATTTGACATCCCGAAAGCTTTAATCTCGTTATAATCAAATTATCCAGTTTTGAGACGTAAAACCTTAAAATGAACGGGAAACACCGCTTATGAATTTCGAGGTGTAGTGATGTTCAGTGACAGGGTAACAAGCTTTTGCAAAAAGGAAGGATAAACTTAAATGATGTCTAATCATCGGATGTGTCATAATTGGGGGAGGACTAAATCTTGGGCTTCGCAATCGTTGTTGAACCTTGCTCTTTGATGAACTGTTTCGATGGCGGAAGATTGAGTGCATAACTTGGTTTGTTTCGTGGTTCGTACCAGCGTGATTTATATTGCGCAAAGTTTTGTACATTCCAATTTATGAATAACGGACGTTTATTGCTTGAAATGCTGTCATTTTCGCTATCCATTAGGACTGACTTTAAAAGCATTGTACAACCCGTTAGAGTTCTGTGTGCATTATTCACAGTTTCATTCAAGTAAAGCCTTCTGTGAATCCAGAGACTAAGTAAGTGTGTTGCGTGACATGTGTTCAAAACTTCAACGATGGTCATACACCGAAAACACATGAGAGCAAAGGGGCATTAACACACACGCATAAATGCACCGTTTCCAAAGCGAATTGTTTAAAAGCATTTATTCACTAAATCGCCTTTTTGATTTCGTTTCCTGCCATTTTCCCGATAAATTATTTTAAGTTTCGTTTTAAGCAGCACTTACTGCTGATCACAATAAATATTGGTAACCCTAAGAGACATATGTCTCATTGCTAGCCGCTAGTGCTGTGGAAAGCAACAGATTCACAAACGTATATTTTTGAAGATGGACCCTTGCGCCAAGCACTAGGTAATGTGTTAAAGTTTCACCTATTTGTATGAGAACATGAGAGGTAAGGGAAATGAGAACGAACCATTCGGGAACATTTCAAACTACGTAGACAAGTATTACATCCGATGCAATTATCACGCTCCCACGAATTGGCAAATATTCCATTGTGTATAATCCCTATGTCGAAGAGAAAGCACGCCCAGAACAAGAGAATTGGATCGCACTATGGATCATTTCACTAAAGTATACAACACAGCATCATATTAAGATAGCCTCGTATGGCATCACCCAGGCATTAGAAATCGAAGAAACGGGAAACACTGTTGAGTAGAAATTTTAGCTGCGGTTCATTTACGCTTGTATCCGATGAAATTGTGTCAAATTGCAAACTGTGATCGCCATGCGCGGGCACAATCGCACACCCTCCTGAATGGTCAACGCATCAGGTGAGGAAAGACAACAGCTTTTTTTTGACCGCCCGCTGCTCGTGAAAACCAAGTCAGTTTTTGCAAGATGAATTCAACGGACGGTAAAAAAACGCATTTGATTTGGCTCACTGCGTCAGGTCTGAGGTTTCGGGACACATGCGAGGAATTTAAGCTTCTCAATCCGGTTTCAAGAAAACGCTCTTTGCATTTGTTGCAGCTCAGACAGCCCGTGTTCTCTTTTTAGGATGACACTTATTTGTATTATATTTGAATCCGATGACCTTATACGAATAGAGTTCTACCAGTGGAATCAGACAATATATAT